AATTCTTAGCACAATTGTTTCGAGTTTTGTTTGCGGGAGTCTACCAATATTTTCTCAAGCGGTCTAAAGAACTTATCCTAAGTCAATTTTTTCAAATGAAAGTTTACATCGACTTCTTCCAAGAAAGATTTGTCTCTTTATCTATTCACTTTTATTATGCAATGGTTTTTTTCTGCATCGCAAGTTGAATTTGAGTTATCTTTAAAACAAGGCTCCTTCCCATTTGACCTACTGGTAACGCGGTTGCATTTGAACTTTAAGGTCTGAGTTTTGAGTCTCTGTCGCACCTTGATTTTTTTTAGTATTTATGAGTTTGAATTTTCCCCCCGCAAAAATTGAGTATTCGTACTATCGCTTGTCTGCTTGTTTTGTTTGCTTAATTGCTATTTAATCTAGATTTTTTTTGTGCTTCAAGAAACTTTTTTTGTGCTTGCAAGTTTTGTTGGTTAACTCCTATAGTTTATAAATTTACTAAACCTGACTTGTATATATTGTGCTTTTTTTCGCCTAATCGATCTAAATGATTCGAGTTTTATCGGCCTAAATGATTTCGGCTGATGTTTTGTCGGCTTAGTCAATTTATTTTGTATCGTTTGGAGGGCATAATGTGCTTTCTGCCAATTTGCAGAATTGAAGTCGGTTGTGGTATAAATTTTCAAAATCTAAACCTAATCGTTCAAAACTTGTTTATGACAACAGTATTTTATGGCGTTTTTTTTTGGTTTTGGTTCAATAGTCTTCTAACCTTTCTGGAGGCTCAATGGTTGCTCGGTAAGTACTGAAAGTATTAATAATGGTAGTGTTTGTCTCTCAAATGTTTTTCTCAAATTGAAGTTACCATTTTTCCAAACAAAAGTTCAATTTTTTCATTTTTCTTTAGATTTATTTGTTTATTTATTTACTTTATATTACCTAGTTTGCAGTGCTACTCTTTTGTTGTGTCGCAAGTTTTTGCTTCATTCTTCATGAAATGTTTCGACCGTAAAGTCTCGACATAGTCCAATCATATAGCGTCATTGATGGTGAAGTCAACTTCTAATTGTCTAATTCAGTTTTTATATATTTTTTTTGCTTCATTTGTTTTGAAATGTTTTCACCTATAAAATATCGGCTTAGTCGAATCACGGCTTCATTGATAACTTGTGTTTTTAAGGGAGTTATAACTTCAGCTTGTGTTATCCGAAGTGCTGCGAAGCTGCGTTTCGCCTGTTTATTTAATTTCAACTCAAATTCATTTGCTAAAAAGATGGCAAACTACGATATCCAATTACAAAAATTTTTTCCGGATTTTTGTTTCAGATTTCTTATCAGTATTGACCCATTTTATCGCCTTGAGTTATTTTATAAAAAGATTGAAAGTATTTTAAATTTTCAGAGAGCTCTAGCGTATTTGTTTTGTGTGTTTTCTTCGAAAGATGAAATTGTTTCGAAGAAATAATCAGTAATTTTTTTTCGGTTTCCTTGTTCGTTGAGTTACATTCATTTTTCTGTAAGCTATGATCTTCAATAGGGTGTTGGGTGAGGTTTTTGGCTGTCATTTGTTAAGTTTTATTCTAATTTTTTTCAATTGTCTTTTTGTTATTTTTTTTTTATTGTGCATCTGATTTATTTTCGATTTCGGTCCAGGTTTTTTTTTCGGTCTATGATGCTTTGATAAAAACTAAGGGATTCTTTGTTATTCATATCCATGGTAAAAGGAAGGTAAGCGCCACCATCGAAAAGTAAACGTGTAAAGAACTCGAAAAACGTGATCGACTTCTAATTTCGAAAATGGAATTTAATTTTCAGATTTCCCAGCGAAAGAAAATTTTTACCTATTGATCCAGTTTTCTCAAATTGGGTCAATTTCATCAAAAAAGTGCCAGTCATAAATTGTTCTGGAAATTGAAAGAGCTTTAATTGCATCCATTTTTTGCTTTGATATTCGAAAGTTGAGAGTTCTGCAAAGAAAACAAGTGAAATGAAACATTTTTTTATGGTTAATTTTATTCGTTTACTGTGTTCCAACTGTCTGTTTGCTATGTTTTATAAGAAGTTGCTATGTTCCCAGTAGTGTTATCGGTCTTGTTTTTGCTTGTGTATGCGAAGTGTAACTTCACCTCTGTGTTCAATCACGATTTGCCACAGGTCTGTCTGTTTTCAAAGACCTTTCTGCTCTGACCATTGATAATGGGGAGGAACTTTGTATTCGGGTGTGTTTTAGTTTTTTTCTTTGTTTTCTTTCTTTTTCTTTTTTAGCCTAACTTTGGGAACCAAAAACTTCTGCAAAAAATTTTGAAAAAAAATCTTTTATTGGTTTTTATTTAGTTTTTGTAGTCATTTTTCAGGTCAGATCCTTTTTTCACACCAACAATAAAAAAAGTACACTAATTTGGAATGAGATCTTTCTAAACTGTAGTTTTCTAAAGACTATGGTCGGAACATTTTGTGCTACTTGCACAATAACCGGCTATCATTGTTTGGTTTCGAAAATGGTGCGAAGCTCCGAAAAGTTTTGAAAGACACAAAACAATAGATGAAATGAATTAGGGACATCGATGGTGTAAAATTTTTGAGAAAGAAGTCTCGTAGTGTATGGTAAAAAAATACACCAATTTAAAAAATGTTTAGAATCAGTGCTTGGGTTGCTTCTAAGCGTTTACTTTTTTTGAAATTCTGTATTGCCTGCATACTATCTCTAGAATTGGCTCTGTTAAATTTTAAAATATAACTTAGTTAAATCAACAGCTAAAAGAGAAGAACCCATTGTCTCCAGTGGGCTTAATTGAATTTGATATCGTGTAGTCGAGTAAACAGGGTAAAAATCCTACTTCATTTTTCGACCCCTATATGTTCGACTATAGCCGACCTGACCTTTGAACCTGTTTGTTCATAAAGCATGATGGAATGAATTTATAACCTTTACTTACCTCGTTCAACTTGTCCAGACAGCTTCGCACTCTACCTAGCAGTCCGTCCTCATTTGTAGAGACGTCGTTCATCTCAGGAGCATCTCGGAATGCACCTGCTCCATCGTCTTGGTCGCTTCCTTGGCCTCCCCTTAAGCAGAGAAGAGCTTTATTTTTTTTTCTCGGAGAATGAGAAGGAACTATGGTGCTCGTGATCGTTTCCCGGCTATTTTAATGATTACGAGATTAGTATTCGAAAAGTTTTCCAAAAGGAAGGGCATTTACAGCTAGGATTGGGAGCTCACAGCTGTTTTTCGGTTACTCGCAATCTGACGCTAGATCGGCTTCTCCTTTTTATCTATTGTTCCTTTAATTTTGATTGCAAAAATTATGTAAAATATTGAAAAGTTTCAAAACATTAATTTTATAAACAATGTTCCAACCAAAGTTTTTAGCTGAAAAATTTCGTGCTTGAGAAATGGGACAGTTTGAATAATAGTTTTGTTCATACTTTTGGTTTTTGATGATGTAAACCAACAATGCGATGATAAGCGCAGCTGCCATGATATTAACATGAGCACAATATCCGGACATGGAAGCCATAATGGAGCTGCTTGGTTTTGGCTGCCGGTATCCAATGTTGGGAAACCAATTGCCACCTCCAGAACCATAGTGATTCCATGCCTAGAATCAATTCACCTCAGGCTCTCAAGCTTAATTAATTCTGAATAAGCTGCAAATCAGGCATAGTCTAAAAGATGAGAGACCCCCTGAAAATAACAGTGTTTTGACTATTTTGTTTGCGAATTGAACTTAGTTAAAAACGCATATTATAAAGAAGATGTTTTGTGGGATCTTTTGGGCGGCGAGACGTTGATTTTGAGAGTGTTCTATAAGAGTTTCGACAGCATTTTCTGGAGTGAGCTTGAGTTGGAGAATGCAAGTGGTTCTATGTGCAAAAAGGGGTTAAAGTATGGGCTTTTTTCTTATTCTACCTCCACACCTGCGAATTTTACAAGGAAAACTTTAGTCACACTGTCCGATCGTTATAGATCTTGGCATACGGACTAATTAGGCGAATTCGAAGATTTTAGTTTTCATACCCAACTTGGTAAAACCACTAGTTACATAAAAAAATTGATGCGTATTTGAGGTAAAAATCATGCTAATGTGAGGGAGTAAAAGGAAAAAGAGCCGAAGTCTGCTTGTGTGCTTTTAAGTGCATATCTCGATTGCAGAGTGTGTAGAAGTGTTGAGTTAAGAGCCCGAAGTTGGATTGATCGTTTGCCTGCATGAGAGCATTCGCAATTCGCATCACTGTTGACTCGGGCGTACAGTACTTCTGTAATAGATTGCTATTCGAACAGATAGACTCCATGCTATATTGTACTGTAGTGATCAATAATATATGCTGTAAAGTGTAAAAACAGGCAAAAATACAACCAATTTTCTGATGTCTGTTTTTTATTTTTGATGGATTTCTTTAAAAATGCTCATCTCGAAAACAACTGCTCGACGAAATGTAAAATTGAATTTGAAAGACGCTAAATTAGAAGTTTTTCATTTTGTACCTCCATTAAATTTTTCTTTAACTATTATATTACACTGCGGTGGCCGTTTCTGGGTTTGTTCATAACCATGGCGAAATGTACAATTTTGGCGCACTTGTACCTATCAATTGAATCTGATTTTTGCCTGTGAAGTGTCTTTTCCTTCAAGCGTGTATAATCAATTCATATGATACGTCTTGGTAGTGACGGTTTGCAGTCAACAGAATTGAGTTAAATTGAAAATATTAAATGAGACGACTTTTGAGGGAAACCTAAAAGGTATAGAAGTTCAATATGAATATAGGTTTTATTTAGTGCACTGGTTAAAACTGCCTCGAGCTAACAGTGCATATTTTTCAGCATGACACGGCGATTTCTGTACACTTTTTCTTTGCCACTTAGAGCAGCTCGGTAGATTTTACGCAGCTTCGTTTTTACCCATGACTTTAAAATGAAACTAGTATTGTTAAAGCTGCATTTCGCACAATATATAGAAGCTTGCGGTTGCAACAATGCGGTGTGTAAACAATGAAATATGAAGTGATGTTGTGTGTCGTTGCAGGAACTGGTGAGCAACTCTTCTCTTCTGGACACTGTGATCAAGGAGCTCTGTGAGCGGGAGTTCTTCATCAAGGCAGGCGAACTGTACGAGAAGGCAGGCGTCAACGACAGAGCCCTCAAACTTTACAGGTAGACAGAACGTAGCTTAACATTGTACCCGAACATGGAATTATTTGAACATCATGTGGAGTTTTCTCAACAATAGTTTCTTAAACAAAATGAGTGCAGATTGCAGTTACTCGAATAGGGGTAGTTGTAGAAATTTTTTTTCTACTGAAACACCGTTGCAGCGTCAACAACAACATGAAAAGTAGTTGACGGAATAGTAAGGCAAGTATATTAGTTCACTAATTATAGTTTATTTCAGAATGGCCAAAGACAAAGAGGGTTTCTCGAATTATAGTTTATTTCAGAATGGCCAAAGACAAAGAGGGTTTCTCGAATTATAGTTTATTTCAGAATGGCCAAAGACAAAGAGGGTTTCTCGAATTATAGTTTATTTCAGAATGGCCAAAGACAAAGAGGGTTTCTCGAATTATAGTTTATTTCAGAATGGCCAAAGACAAAGAGGGTTTCTCGAATTATAGTTTATTTCAGAATGGCCAAAGACAAAGAGGGTCTCGAATTATAGTTTATTTCAGAATGGCCAAAGACAAAGAGGGTTTCTCGAATTATAGTTTATTTCAGAATGGCCAAAGACAAAGAGGGTTTCTCGAATTATAGTTTATTTCAGAATGGCCAAAGACAAAGAGGGTTTCTCGAATTATAGTTTATTTCAGAATGGCCAAAGACAAAGAGGGTTTCTCGAATTATAGTTTATTTCAGAATGGCCAAAGACAAAGAGGGTTTCTCGAATTATAGTTTATTTCAGAATGGCCAAAGACAAAGAGGGTTTCTCGAATTATAGTTTATTTCAGAATGGCCAAAGACAAAGAGGGTTTCTCGAATTATAGTTTATTTCAGAATGGCCAAAGACAAAGAGGGTTTCTCGAATTATAGTTTATTTCAGAATGGCCAAAGACAAAGAGGGTTTCTCGAATTATAGTTTATTTCAGAATGGCCAAAGACAAAGAGGGTTTCTCGAATTATAGTTTATTTCAGAATGGCCAAAGACAAAGAGGGTTTCTCGAATTATAGTTTATTTCAGAATGGCCAAAGACAAAGAGGGTTTCTCGAATTATAGTTTATTTCAGAATGGCCAAAGACAAAGAGGGTTTCTCGAATTATAGTTTATTTCAGAATGGCCAAAGACAAAGAGGGTTTCTCGAATTATAGTTTATTTCAGAATGGCCAAAGACAAAGAGGGTTTCTCGAATTATAGTTTATTTCAGAATGGCCAAAGACAAAGAGGGTTTCTCGAATTATAGTTTATTTCAGAATGGCCAAAGACAAAGAGGGTTTCTCGAATTATAGTTTATTTCAGAATGGCCAAAGACAAAGAGGGTTTCTCGAATTATAGTTTATTTCAGAATGGCCAAAGACAAAGAGGGTTTCTCGAATTATAGTTTATTTCAGAATGGCCAAAGACAAAGAGGGTTTCTCGAATTATAGTTTATTTCAGAATGGCCAAAGACAAAGAGGGTTTCTCGAATTATAGTTTATTTCAGAATGGCCAAAGACAAAGAGGGTTTCTCGAATTATAGTTTATTTCAGAATGGCCAAAGACAAAGAGGGTTTCTCGAATTATAGTTTATTTCAGAATGGCCAAAGACAAAGAGGGTTTCTCGAATTATAGTTTATTTCAGAATGGCCAAAGACAAAGAGGGTTTCTCGAATTATAGTTTATTTCAGAATGGCCAAAGACAAAGAGGGTTTCTCGAATGCAGTGCGTCTGGCTAGGGAACACGACTTGGGCGTGGATGCCAGAGATCTCTTGGAGGAGTATGCTGACTACCTATACGATCAACTGGAGTTCGAAATGGCCATGGAGAAATACTTACAGGTATTTTTTGCCATAGTTTACATCATGTATTAAATAACTCTTTTTCTTTTTATTGTTCTTTCCAAAGTTTTTTTAATCGATCTTTCCGAATTTATTGTTCGTCCAAAGCTATCAATGTTTCAACCGAAGATTCTTTTGTCGCAAAAGTGCCCTTCATGATTTTTAAGGTTGATTTCCTACCTAATGCTTTATTTGACCAGCGCCATTTGGAAAGTCAGAGGCTAAAATTATAAGCAATCTGGTGCTTTTTTCAAATACTTTTGAAACTTGTTTTTTTTTGTTTCAATAATTCTTAAACATGATATCTGAATTTTCTGTAGGCCTCGCAACTCATTAAAGCTCTGAAAAGTGCATTCAAAGCCAACAGTATAGTGCGGGCAGAGGACATCTTTGAGACCATCAAAGACTCCCCAGGCGGTAAGGAGAGCTTTGACCGGGCAAGCGGAAGAGGCGGGGGAAAGGATGGGGAAGATGAGCTGAGCTACAACGGGTGGGCGATCAAATTGGGACAATATTACGCATCATTGATGTCCGGAAACAGAGAACGCAATATGAAAGCGAGTTTGAAATTCGTGACATGTTCTTAATTTTTATTTTTTCGAAATCAATATGCGATAGGTTAACTGCGAAAGGTTGCACCAGTGACACGAACAATTTAAAAAAAAAAACGTTATGTTTTTCGGAAATCTAGAAAACGTTTGAGGAAAAGTTGCAGCAAGGAGTAGGGGTACTGTGTTTGGGGGAAGGTGTACATGTCTTTGGGTGTTGCACAGGTCAGGGGCATTTATCAAAAAAGATTTAGTGCTATCAGTCAGTATAATGATCCGCCGAACATAAATTATATAGAAACAATTTCGTTTTCTCATTTCTCTGAACTATTTGGAAGAAATGCAGTGCTGCAATACAGTATTTGAAATAAAGTGAGTCGAGTTTCAAATACAATATGTTTGCTCAAACTGGTTTTTAGTCTGTGTGAAATTCAATTGGACTTTGTTTGTAGCTGAAATAAATTTCAAACATGCTGAATAATATTACAGAACAGATGTACAAAACAGTTCAACTGTATAAAAAAAATAGTTGAATATTTGTTTTAGAAAGCGCAGAAGTACTTCTTAGAAGGCAATAGTGTAGAACACATAATTGATATGTACAAGGAGGCAGGGTATTGGGAGAAGGCATACGAGTATCTGATGGAGATAGGGGCCAAACAGGAGGCCACTGAGTTCCTACATCAACAGGCGCACACCTGCATCGCCGAGAAGAGATACTCGGACGCCGAGAGGTCAGACACTCATTACACAAGCCAACCTCCAGTGGTCCTCGATTTGATTCCTGTGGTCACTCAATTGTTTCGAATCAGTATTTTGTTTCGCCTAATCAGCTCTTTTTTACAAGTCTTGGATTACGTTTTTTTTCTATTCAACATAAATAAAAAACATTCAACCTCAAAAAAATAATCGTTTTCACGAAAGTCATTATCGCGAAATATAATAAAAAGAGGAACAATCAAACTTTTGAGGCAACGTTAAGTTATGAGTCATGTCTAAAAAAACTAGCTTTTCCAGGCAAAAGTTTTGCATTTCTTTTTTTTTCTCCGAACCTTTGCTACTCTCTATAATGGATCGTTAAAACCAATGTTTTCCGTTGTAGAGTGTACATGAAGGGCAAGATGTTCGATGCGATAGTGGACATGTACAAGAGTGTGGAAGACTTCGACAATGTGTTGAGAGTGCAGAGGAGACTGGGCATGGGCGACGACACCTCCATGCTACTAGAGCACGCAGAGGTACACAATTTGCAATAATACAAAACAATCACAAATCCTTAGAGTAAGTTTTCAAGTGTTAATCATGGAAGTGAAGTGTCACTTATTTAAGTGTTTTGGTTTTTTCAGTGCCTTACTTAACATTTGAATTGGTGCCGAAGGCGTCTTCAGGAAAAATAAGGGGTCGCCATAAAATTGGAAATGTTTTGAAAACCCTCTAAAGAAAATTCTATTCCCCTGTTTGTGGACAAAAAAATTGTTTGATCAAGATACCGTTTGTGATTTTGCTTGTGTTCTTCAGCGTCGCAAGCGTGACGGGGATTTCGTTGAGGCAGAAAAGTTGTACATGGAGGCAGGTAGTTGGAAGGAGGCAGTCAACATGTACATGCAACAGTCCAAATGGGAAGATGCCCGGAGAGTGTGTCAGGAGGTGGGCACAGATGAGGCACACAGCAAGGAGGGCTTCATAGGTATCGTAGCCTTCCTGTTTTGAAATTGACAATATACAGGGGCGGGTTTATGGGGGGGGGGAAGAAGAGGTGCGATGTTACTACTATTTTACGACATCCGTTTTTGGACCTCCAATCCTTCAACAGTGAGACTCATTCCAATGCGAGATGAGCTTTTGCCAAAAAGCTCTCAAATATGGATTCTCAGCAAATCAGAATGAGCATTTAAAAACTCGAAAAATTAAAGCATGAAAAATTAGCCAATCGTTGAGACGTTAATGTACACTTTATTTGTCGTAAATTGTCCGCCTTTCGGGATTCTGCCATAATAGCAACTCGAAAAATGCTTTGTTCAAAAATTAATATCTCTGTTGAATTGTGTGTAGGCTACTGTTGGGCCAAGGACATGCCTTCAGTGGTCAATGCGGCCAAGCTACTGTTGAACTTGAACTTACTGGACAAAGTGGTGGAGGTGTGCTGCAACGCAATCGCCAGCGAGTAAGTACACACACAATACAGTCCTCCCTACTGCATAGAACTTGAAATCTTTCTCGTTTGAAGTTCATTCGTTAAATTGTTTTTACACTAGCTTGCGAGCGTTGTGTATCAGTACGAACTTTCTTTTTCCTCACCTAACTCGCAAATAAAAGTGCTCATTTGGTGCATTTTTGCTATAATCACGATCTGTAGCATCTGAAATTTCATAGCATCTGTTTTTTGCTTTATTGGTGGCTAGTGTTTGTGATTAGCTAAGCATCCGTGACTGATTGGTTTGTGCGCGAAGAATCATAATATCTAGGTTATAGGATCGAATCCGATACTCAGCCGAAGTTTTACTAATTCGAGGCTCATTTCTACTTTTTCGTATGTCACTTGATAGAGCTGCTCTTTTGTCGTGTTCTCGCCAGTGTTTGCAAAGCGCAGCTTCGCCGTGTATTAAACATTAGTTGGAAAAGCGTAGTGAATTTAGCAGGAATAGCAGATAAAGAATATGAAGTCATAGCATACATGTCTTTTTTTATATAAAAAAAATTCAAATTGCGTAAAAAGAGCTGTTGGATTATTTGACAAACTAATCAAATTTAAGGCGCTGAATTTTTTTGATTATTCGATGTTCTCACCTGCAATTTTTCTGAAAATTGCCAGTCAACCTTTACATAAGTGCTTGCGGGCGTAGTGTGATAGTATGAAGCTTTTCATTTAGGCTCATTTGGTTTTGCGTTAATCACGATCTGTAGCATTGGAAATTGCATTTCATGTGTTCTCTTTTTTCCGTTGGCTATTGTTTGCTTATAGTTAGCTTGAGAATCCTAGGCTACTGGTCGGAGGTTCAATACCGCATTTAGCACTTGTTTTCTTTATACAAGATGCCTCGGATAACGTTTGGTTACGTGTTACCTTCCCTGTTTAACACCGATCGGTGTTCGTTTCTATTCCTTTTAGTAGCTTGGCTTGACTGGTCGTTTCCTTCGTTACTAGTTGATTTGTGTCAAGGTTGGCTTGCACATCCAGGGGTTCGTTTTCACCATGACCATTTAATCAAGATGAGGTACAAGCAGGGTGAACCAATTAATTTTTTCAACCAAGTTTTTTATGTTATTGATACTCACCACTACTGAAGTTAGACGGCTGGTTAATTGTAGCATTTTGTCGAGTTATGCTCTTTAATTGAATGTTTTTTTTTCATCATGAGAATCTAATTAAGTAGAGGAAGTGGTATGAAGAATCAATCAAAGTTTTAAAACTGATTTTGTGAAATTGTTTATACTCACCACTACTTGAGAAAATAAGCCTGTTTTCATCATTAGAATAGGTCACAGGGGACGAAAAGGCAATGACGATTTTTTCTAATGTTCTTGGGCGTACTCAGGGGCGGATCTAGGATTTTCTCGAGGGGGGCGGATTTTCAAAAAATTTTCGAAAATTTTGACGACCTTTTTTTTTTTTTTTTAGGTCGATCAGATTGATTTTCCGAGCTCTCCCAAAGCAGTAAAAAGACCCTGTTTTGGCCAAATTTTCTGCGCCGCAGGCAATTTTTTGAAAAAACAGGTCAAAAAAGCCGTTTTTGGGCATTTTTGGAAAATTTTGTAAAAAAACGCGTTTTTTTGGCGCGCGCTCCCCCTCGCAATTAGTATATATTGGCGCCTTTAGAAAAATTTTAGGGTCGGTCGGCCAAAAATGGATTTCTTAAAAAGTGCCAAAGGAGGGACCCTTTGGGTTGGCAGGGGTTCGAATCCCTGAGGGGGAGGGCGTCCGCCCCCCCCCCCCCCCCCTAAATCCGCCCCTGGGCGTACTAAAATCATGAAGCGATTTCCTGTTATTGTTATGACGCCTCTCGAACTGCTTCTTCAATAATACTATGGAACTGTACAACGCCGCTTTCCAAGTGATCTTTGGTCACAATTGATCGCCATAACAGGGTTGTACCCTATTCCAACTTATCCTTCTGTAAAAAAAGGTAACATGTTAATTTGCCCCAAGTCAACTTGTCCCAGCCCAACTTGGCCCCACCAGTCCGATTCCAACTTGCCCCAGATGACTACTTGTCCAATGCCATCTTGTCCCAGATAATAAAAAAGTGAAGTTTGCCCCAGATTCTTTGATAACCTCGTAGAACTTAATGTCGGCATAAAGATGAAAGATATTTTTGTTGAACAATTCAGCTTGAAATAAACTGCGGAATCATTAAAACATAGGCTTAATCAAAATGAACTCAAAGCATGCATGAAGAAAATGAAAGCGGCAACATTTCAATGCAATTTTCATGTCGAGTTAAACATTTCAAAAGATTGCTTGCTGATCTTGTAAGCTCCTATAGCATAGTTAATAGTGCACAACACTCTTAATCAAGAAGTCAAGAGTTCAAAACTTGAAGAAGTCAAAAAATTTCAGTATGAAATCGTTGAAATTGAAAACCGCAAGTACTGCCTCGCCCCTAAAACTCCCCTATACTGGGTAACCTAGAATAGGGGACAGGGTGAGAAAAAGAGCAAAATTATTGCATTATTGGCCTTTATCACCTCTCAAAATTTGGACCCTTTACGATGGCTATAAGTTAAAAAAGTAGTGATTTTTTTAAAAATCAATTAAAAATGCCGACAATTAACTGGAAATTATGCCGACAATTTAAAATTTACGAAATAGTTAAATGAGCTAGTGCATATAAATAGTCAACAGCATGGTCTTTGTTGAAATTACTAGAAATGTTTGGGATTTTTGCATGAATATCCCGATATTTCTTCCGCCCTCGATTCTGCGTTCCCCCCATAGCCTTAAAAATATTGATTTTTTGATTAGTTGAGTCCATTTGAATCTTATTCAGGAAAGCGTAGAGGCTTGGGTGGCTCCCTTGAAATAATGCTGTCACTCCGAGATGTCAACCTTCAACGGCGTTTGTCGTTCGTATCAAGCCTTCCGCTGCTCCTTGCGCGTTATCAGAGACAGAGGCGATGGTTTTCAGGAATTTTGAAAACGTTTGTTCCGTTTTGTTTGGCAGTAGAGCATAAAGGCATGGTGGGTAAAATCCACCAATTTGAATGTGTATGGTATAAAGCTGATAAAATTGCATTATGCAAATTTTAAATGTACCGTCGCAAAGCCAAAGAGAATTGTGAACTCGGAGGGCATCATTATCTCGATCACCGAAAATTAAAATTCGCTCAGGATCCCTTACTCCACTGTCGAATAAACAGAAATAGAATATTCCGTCGGAATCATGAAATGCCTGTCTTAAATGATTGGCAAGGACGGGACCAAGTTCTGTTTCTGGCGGTTAAGAGTTCTTTTTATTGCTGCATGACTGGGCAAGGATAATTGAACTGCTTTCTCATCTGTTACTTCCTGGAGGCAAGTGGCAATTATACTACTATTGACAGGTACAATTTGCTGCCTGGCCTCTCTTTTCATTTGATGCATGATCTGATTTGCCTCAACTTTCCCAGGTCTAACATCGTCGCTGTGCTCATTTATTGTTGATACGAGTTCATCTCCTGCTGTCACGGCGAGCATGCGGCATTTGTGTGAACTCTATCTCGCGCATCTCCAGTTCTCAGTAGTTTTTGTCGTTTGCTTTTTGTGAATTTGTGTCCGTCAATAATAAGCGTTCGTTTATTTCGTTGATATTCCCCACGTAAGTTGACTCATAGTTTTTATGTTGGATTTTTAAGAACAAAATGGTAAGCAATGAAGCAAAGCAAAATGAAAGAATAGCCGTGTTTCATTTTGTTTCAAAGGCGCTAATTGTGGATTTTTGTGAAATTTTTGTGTGTAATTATCAAAAATTATGGTTTTTTGGCTCAACTTCAATAATTTTTGATTAGAGTCGTTTGTTATCTCAAAACGAGACCAGTGTACATTAGCACTTGCTGGTCCTCAATTTGAACATCAAAGAATCAAGTAAAAGTGTTAAGTATGGGACAAAACGGCAAAGGACAAAATGTCTTGTGGGGCAAGTTGGCATAGGACAATTTGCCATGTAGGGCAAGTTAGTATAGGACAATTTGGCAAATAGTCCTGTCACCGTTAATAATCTTTGCCATTTAACCCAATAACCAAGTTATCCTACGCCAAATCCTCGTGCTATACCAGTTAATTCTTAGCCACTTCATCTTGCTAATAGTTTAAATCATCGATATGCGTATTCAATGCCGTTTAATTTAAACGGCAAGCGATAAGCGTATTCAATGCCGTAAGCACATGTTCGTCCAGTGCCAGAATTTGACCTCAATTGAGTCGCAATTTCAGGCTAATTGTAATAAATGCTCTGTCAAAAAATAAACCAATTTGTTACTTCATTATTTCACTACTTTATTTAAACTGATTTACAAAATTGATGCAACGCAATGACGTCAATTACGAAGTCCTTCCTTATCGATCCAGCATGTGAAAGCTTGTTGCGAAGATGCAACAGAATGCAGAAGTCGAGCATGTACCGGAGAACAGCAGTTTCAGTGCAATCTGTCTGCAATCAGTGGCTGATAAAAATCCGATCAGCTAGTTTCACCTCGTTTTGCGATAAACAGGGCTCTTAATTGACAGAAAACAGCAGAAAGCCCTCACCAAATGTTAATAGATATTTTGAAATAACCTTACAGTTTGAAAGCTTCTGATTTTTTCACAACGGGATTGATGATTGATGGTTTCGACAGAGTGCTGATTTGTAGCGACCGCGATAATGTGAAAGCCTTTGAAGTGAACGGAGGATTATAACTGTGCGATTGGACCTTGAAAAAGTGCCCAATGCAATTCTAGTCAAAATGAATTTAGCTGGTGTGAACTCCCCGTGTATTTAAGCCGTGATTCACAATAAGATTGAGCATATCTACCAGAATTATCTCAGCGGTTAGTCTAGGCTAATTAGGACATAAGAACGCGCAGCACAATCGTATTCTGTGGCGAACACTGCCCTGAAATATCTCCCATCTTCAAGCCGAATAGTTGACAAATTTGTGAAAAATTGGTGTCGGTGTTATCTATCATATATTTAAATGCGGTATTCACTATCTCGCCATGTTTAAGCTTTTTCAACGTACTATTTTTGTATATTTAACAAATGAATTTTTTAACGTTTGAGCTATATCGTATATTGCAGTAATTACGGTTTTTTTTTTCGATTTTTCCAGTTAAAATTCAGTGTTTATTTCATCAAGTTTGAAATTAGCAACCCAATGGTAGGATATTGTCAGAGTTTTCCCAGGTTTTGCGATTCTGGCCTCCATATATGAATAACCAAATCCTTTTAGTTTACGAGATAGGCAATTTTCGAGATTTTTCAAAATTTTCTAGAAAATCTAATTCAGAAAAATTTCTCAATTTTTGAATTTCTCACCCTGTAATTGGGTGCTGTCAGGGTACTCTCAGGGGTTGCGAATCTTGCCTCCAATTCTCACTTCTCAAATCCTTGTATTTTTCGCGATATGACGTTTTTTTTTTTTTAAATTTTTTCAAAAAGTTAGATTTTAAAAAGTTCCAAAACGTTGAAGATCTCAATCCTGTAGTTGGGTGCTGTCAGGGTACTCTCAAGGGTTGCGAATCTTGCCTTTGATTATGGCTGCTTAAATCCTTGTAGTTTTCGAGATATACGTTTTTTTCAGGTTTTTTTTTCAAAATTTTTCAGAAAACTTAGGTATACAAAATTTCACAAAATTTGAAATTTTGATCTCTGTTGTGAGGCTCTGTCAATGTACTCTTAGGATTTGCAAGTTTTGCCTCCCAATTTGACTGCTCAAATCCTTGCAGTTTTCCTGATATGACGTTTTTTGTGATTTAAAGTTTTATATGGTTCTTCAACATTTGTATAAAAAACTTGAATAAAAAACTTTGCAAAATTTGTAATTACGAACCCTGTAATTGGGTGCTGTCAGAGTACACTCAAAGAATAGTTTTTTGAGTTGTTGAAAATTCGAAGCACCGGAGGTGCGTTACACGCTAGTTTATGATGAAGTCCATGATTGCTCGATGCCGCCACATTTCGCGAGTTTCAATTTGCGAAAATTTTATGGTACTATTTCGCGGAAGCGTGATATCCATTCTTGAAGTCGTGTATCAGCATTGACAGCTCCTGTTTTGAGCACGTCAATTTTAGTGTTTTTCATCTTTTTTTCTAAGCTTGTCCTGTCATTTTTGCCGCTTCTGGGAGGCATTTCGGTAGAATTAAGATTGCAGTAATTGATTAAAATGGCGCTAGCCGAAAGCGATTGATTAGTTTAGTGCAAACTTTTTAATTTATTATGAACCTCAATTTCAGTGACTTATGCACGAAAACGATTTTTTTGAGGCATGTCAAAGAAATTGAACAAGAAAATAGACCTTTCAGTGATGAATACAATAACAACGAATAAGCGAAATAAATAACCAAAGCTGGAATGCTGATTATAACTCCAAAAAAAAAATTCCGAACGAAAGTGTTTAAAACTGATAACCCATTCGAATTATAGCCCACCTCAATATAATCCCCTGTCCGTCTTCTCCCATCTATTTTCTCCTCTACTCATACCTCACTCTCTACCACCCCCCCCCCCCCCTCCAATGCATTTCTCGTCCATACGAATTTAGCTGGTGTAAACTCCCCGTGCATATATGCCTTTATTCCAGATAAGAGTGAGCATGCCTGCCATAAGTATCTCAATAGTTTGTCAGAAATAATTAAGACGCTAGGATTCGCAGTCCAATCGTATTCCGCTCGATTTTGAGCGTGCTGCTCAACTTTCTTTCTTCATTATAATATTTTTAAGGAGTACAGCTTTAAAGATGATACTTTTATGATACTCAAGCCATTAACCGCATGATAAATGAAGTCGGTGTGAAACAGCTGTACGAAAGATTCATTCAGTAAGCTTTTTGGACAATTGACATGGTAACGTTTTCATTTGTCAAATCTTTGAAGAAATTAGACCTCCACAGAAGCCAAACTAGATGTATTCAATCTAAAGTACTATAGCCGTGGGGAACAACAATACGCCAGTCGTAAGAAGTACCGTGAAAAATACCGTAAAAACGAAAGCCGAACAAAAATTGTGAATAGATTCAATTAAGACTCCATTGTAAATTTTCCTTGCTCTCTCAATTGAGCTATTCTTAAATGTTAACTTAACCAATGTCACAATTCAGTCGATTTTCCGAAAAAGATACACTTGTTGAGGTTCTCAGCGTCTTTTGATATTGAGAGTTGATAGAGGACAATATCAGATCATTTTAGTTTTTTCCTTGCTTTCACTAGATTGTATTTTCGTTTTTGGAGATCCTTTTTTTGCAGGTGCTTGGGAAATGCAGCTTCGCTTCAGCGTAAATAGATTTCATTGATTAAGTGCTGCTATTCAGGGTGAGATTATGGACTGTAAGCGAATAATTGATTTGTTTTAAAGAGCTGCAAAACAAGAAGGACTGAAGTGAGTAATAATTATGTTCGCATGTCATTACATTTACCATTGTACACAACCTTGTTATGTATCTAGTTTATTCGTGACTTTTTTAAATAATGCGAAAGGTTATCTGAAAAAGTGAAATTTGAAGGCTACCGGAACCTAAGGAAGGAGACAAGAAAAAGTGAGAGTAGTATGCCTGTGCTGCACTTTATTTTGAGCCTGTCTTCAGTTTTTTTTGTGAGTTGTGTCGATGTAATTTTTGCAACGATTTCTTTCTGTTCAAGTTCATGCATATTTAGTTCTGTTTGGTCTTAAGTTTGTGTTAGATGTTGCATGTTTTCAAAAACCTTAAATGTGTTGAAGAGCTGATCATGATTTTATTGATACGTTTTGACTTTTTGTAGGGTGCCTGATTTTGACATGGCCTTTGAACTCTGCAGCGCTGCAGAGAGATCGGACCTGACCTCCAGAGTGCACCTTCTCAAAGGCCAGTTCCTAGAAGATCAGGGTCAGTTCCAACTAGCCGAAAACGAATTCATAGCAGCCAATAAGCCAAACGAGGCGCTTCTTATGTACATTCACGAGGGTATGCTGGACGCGGCCCAGAAAGTGGCGGACGCGCACTGCACTGTGGAGGAGAAGAACCAAGTGTACACAGCCCTGGGTAATAAGAAGTTCGAAAAGGGAGACTATGACTCAGCTGAGAAACTGTTCCTGAAGAGCGAAAATGTAGAGCATCTAGTCTCTCTGTACCTCGACGTCAACAGATTGGACAAGGTTGAGAATAAATGAATTTTTTGCCCAATTCTCTCCATGCGATGTGCACGGTATTTTGTTCTCCCGTTCCGATAGTGTTAATGAAGTGGAGCCTTTTATCTCCTCCCATCTCACTCAAAAATCAGAGATATGTACTTCTAAATACAATTGTAGGTAGTCGGAGTGGATTATACAGTTGGGTAGTAGCTCTTCATGAAAAAATTGAATATTATAAGATCAAGCGGACCACAGTAAAATACTACAACTGGACCTTGGTTTAGTGTTTCTATTATCTTTTTTTGATAAATTTATTAGTGAAGAAGAAAAATCTACTTTGGCGAAATGTTGAACAATGCATTACCAGGTCCACGACCTGGCTGACCGAGGATACTTGAGTCCAGAGCAGCTGAACAACCTCTCGGCCATGCGCAGAAGAGACCCAATAGGTGTCGGAGCGTCTGGGGGTGCTGGTGCAAGCATGGGTATGGGGGCGGGGGGAGACGCCTCTTCTATGAGTGGGGCTAGCAAAATAGTTGAAGCGAATAGGCTGGCGTCTAATACCAGTAGTCCACATGATATGAGAGAGGGATTGAAGTTGTTGTTTTCAATCACATCTTATGACGTCACAGCTACTGCCACCGCTTCAGTGGACGAGCAGCTGCTGCATTATAATCAACAGGTAGGATCAAATAAATAAGATGCACCGCTTAAAATCTTGTCCTGCAACCAATAGTAATTACATTGCGTTTATTTTTTCGATGATTGTATTAATTGCACACTTGTTTGTTAAGGCGATGAAGTTGATAGAAACACTGTGTGTGCAGAACGGGGGTCGCTTTGTGGAGAATCTGGCCCTGAAGGAGGGAGTGGCGAGGGACTCCAATGGACAGAACTACAATGGACCTCTGTTAAGCGAAGTGGTCTCAACTGTACTCTCCAGACAAACCAGTCTGCACGGGGACTGGAAAAAAGTAGGCTTATTGACTCTTTTTTATTTACTTTGCATTTCAGTTTTCTAATGCCCTATAGATTGTTTTTTTTCAAGGAAAGATTCAAATTTGTTCATGCCTGATGATTATAAAGAATGATTGATTGTTTATCACTTTTGAATGATCGACTTTGTCACGGTGAAATAAACTTGTTTTTGATACTTTGCATTGTAATATACTCATTCGGCTTTAACGTAGAACACAGTTCATGTAAACAATAGTAGTTGGTTGCTGTAAAACGTTCTAAGTGAAGACTGAATCATGAGGTAAATCAAGTTTTTCACGGCCTTAATAAAAGTTTTTGCTATTAACGGGCTTCAATTACCCTTGCGATAAGCAAGGGTATTGCAATCGGGTACTGGACTTTTTTCCGTAAGCAATTTTGTTCACTGAATGGTCAAAATTAGAAATGGTAAATTTAGGTTCAGTTCATAATCAATTCAAATTTCTTTTCCTCTCCGGAACTTTGGGTATGGACGTAACGGATGCGCATGAAACGGCAAAGGTCCTCGGTGCGAATCTGACACAACAGGTTTTTTCCAAACATGAAATAGTCCTTTTCCAATAAAAAATTGTCAGCTTATTATTGTCTGCTTCTGTTTTGTCGGCTTAAGTGCCAAATTGTAGAATTGTTTTTTTACGGTTTTTTAAACATAATTCTTGCTTTTAGTGTTCTGATTTACTTCTGCTTTTTGTATTTTACTAAGTTTTTTCGCTTAAAAACTTATTTTGACCAAATAATTTCGGCCTCTTTTTTTATCGGCTTAGTGCCTAATTTCGAGTCATTTCAATGGAAACATTTTTATGCTCACTTCTGGATCACAGAAAATGCTAAAAAAAAATTTAATAGAAATAATAGTTTTTCATGACAATTTTTTTAAGTTTTTTTTTCCGGCTTGATAGGTTTCGGCTTATATAATATACGCTTGTTGGCCTCATTTTGTTTATATTGCCTCAAAAAGTTTGTGTGTGTGCGTGCCTGTGTTTTGAGGGCGAAGGGCACTCGATAACTTTTATTAGTCTTAAATTTTTCGGCTTTTTTCTTTTGTTTTTGGTTTTATAGGTTTTGATCTGTATTATATCGGCTTAGAGGCCTGATTATTTAATTTGACGAGCAAATAAAGTTTTTTGAGTGTTTGTGTGTTTTGAAGGTGAGATGGATTTATTAATTAAGAGGTGTGTTAATTTCACATTCTATTGTCTTGGATCTTAAACGCCGATCTCTTTAGGGCGTGTCTCTCTGTCTGAACCTCTACAATGCCCTCTCCAAAGTCAGTCAAGTGGAAGAAGGAGACAGGTATGTTGGAATTAGTTTTACTAATTTAGTTCGAGAGCATTCTGTTTTGTATTGAAAAGATTTTTTTTAGTTGACTTGTTTAAAAAAGATCGGATGTTTCTTTCCCTCGCGGATAAAGAGTCTTAAACATCCCGATTGTTCGACTCTTTAAGGATGAGCATGCAGTTCTTAACGAGGGGAAAAATAATGAGGGGAAAAATAATTGTTCGACTCTTTAAGGATGAGCATGCAGTTCTTAACGAGGGGAAAAATAATGAAACTTTTTTGGTTAGTTTTCTGGTCACACTCAAGTAACGATCACGGATCACGGCTGGCCTCAAACAGCCGACTGAGAAGCGAAAGCGTATCCACATCACCACCACCCTAAACCCAAAAAAAAACTTTTTGCACAGTGTTTAAAAACTTTAATAGGAAACTTACGTTTCTTAGCACATGGATTGCTGTTTTTGATTACTCTAATGATTTCTCTGAGGCAATTGGAATTCTACTTCAAAATGCGGATTGCATGTTCCAAGGGTTTCAATGGCAAACTTGACCTTAAAAAATATTTTGGTTGTGAATTATAATAGTGCAAACCATGTTTACGTGACCACAGATACGTGGAGTATGCGGTGAAGTTTGCATGTGTGCACCAGCAGTTCTCTGCTGCACAGAAGATAGTGGACCACGCGTATGAGGATGACCACCCGGTGGCACTGCAGTTGTTCGCCCTCATCAAGCAGCAGGCGGTGGCAGCCTCCAGACAGGAGGGAGACATGGAAGGGGTAAGAGAAAAAGTCTACTGAAGTATAGATACCGGACCAAATCACGAAATTCACTAATCGGTTGGGGCCATTGTTTTTCATTGCTAGGTTGGTTGTTTTAGCGCTGAAAGCCAGTGCAAACGCAAGTAGGGCATTTTGATTTTTTTTAGTTAAGGTCGGAATATGAGTCACTTGACTACAGTTCAGTTTTAATGAGCTGAGGATTAAAAGTTCATTTTTTGCCCCATGTTTTTGTTCCGACCATTCTCAAAAGAGTGGAAGGAATTCTGGCGTAGGATTGATTTTTTCCACAGTCAACTTTGTCGGCCTCGGAGAAAGCCCATATCAACTCTTTTTCAGTCTCAGTCGCGATTAGCATTTCCTTGAAGTTTTTTGTGTCGTGAAAAAACTTGTCTGAATTTTTGCTTTTCAGACTCCTCGCATTTAGTCATTTTTGCGGTGGATGATTTTTTGATTGAGAACATATAAAGGGTTGGTTAATTATTTTTTTTTGCAATGATAACTGGTCGGAACTGTAGAAACCGGGTATTCTTGCTTTTCTTGTTACTGGTATTACTTTTTGTTGTGCTTGAAGTCCTTTCTTCAAGTATTAATTTGGGAACATAGATTGAATCTATAGACTAGCGTCAGTTTAGTGTCTTATTAAGAACCTTTTTTTTAAACTAGCGCCAGCTGTTTATTATTAAGAACCTTCTTTTTTTCTAACCTAAGTCACGAATATTGCTGCAACTTTTGGGGCACCTTTTTAGCTTTTTGATAACATGTGCTTTGACATTCGAATTTTAATAAGTTAACCCAGTTGATGCATTTTAATTCATCAAATGAACCGAAAAAAGCTATTTGTTCCAAACATAACCATAATGAAAACTCGATTTCAGAAAATTTTTAACTCAGTATATCTCGCAATATTTTGAAATGCATAATTTATATATGTGGTTTTATGCTTTGCGATTTGTTACATGCAAAGTTAGTGTGGATGCCTTCAGTTTGTTATTTTCCAAATTATTAATTGCAAAATTGAGTCTACTTATATTTGGTGCTGAATCGCATTGGCAATTTGTTAGCATATGTAGCTGCTTTATTCGTGACTAGTGTTTGTCGGTTATTAAGCTTGAGTGGCTGAGGGGTTAGTGCATGAGACTTAAAATATCTTGATTGCAGTAGGTTGCAGATCGAATCCTAGACCTAGACGAATTTATGCCAATTCGAGGCTTATTTCTATTTTTTCTTTTGACACTTTCTAGAGCTGCTTTTTGTCGTGTTCTCGCTAGTGTTTGCGAAGTGAAGCATCGCCTCCGTGTCAATATTTGTTTTGTTCCATATTTGTGAAAAAGTAAATAAAACACATTGACTGCTAAAAGTGAAGTGATAAAACACAGGTACTGAGAATCTACAAATAAAAAGTTTTGTTTACTGAAAGCAATTTCCGATTTCAATTCTGGCTAATTGTTTGTTTAAGCTTGTGGCTATGGGAGAGGGATTCGACGACCTCAAACAGACTGGAGACTACGCCAAGTACCTAGACCTAGTGCACAAGAAGGACCGAGAAAACGTAGCAACTACTTCTAATTATATTTAACTAAAAATGAAGCCTAATGGCTCAAATTAATTATTTATTTGTCGAACACAAAAACTTTTAAAAGCGGTCTTTGAAAAATACGAATTGTCAACTGTGAAAAGATATTAATTGAGACCGTGAGTCTTTTCATGTGCTGTCGACCCTTAGTCTAATTCAGTCCTTGTTTTAGGGTACGAACAATATGCCAGGTGCACTGAGGAAGTGTATCAGGAGTCTACTGGACCAGGTGGAGGAGGGAGGGGAGAGTAAGCGCAATGCGAACATGTCCAAACTGTTCAGTGTCATTGAGGACTATGGACCACTGGCTGACAACAACAGTCCAGATGTGCGCAATGTCTACAAGGTCAGTCGCAACCAAAACAATGAGCTGACTCTAGATCACGAAAAATTAATGTTTTATAAATTCTTAACGATGGTAAATTAGCTTTCGAACTAACCTAGTTTGAGACTTAATTTTAGAATTGATGAAAAATAAGTGGAAAAAATGAAACAATTGAAAAAGTAAACATACGAAATGTTCGGCTTGTGTTCTTGATAAATGACTCGAAGAATTGCTTTTTTTAAATATAAAGAAATTATTAATCGCTTGCATTTTTTTATTACGCCAAATTAGCAGCGCTTTTTCATTTGCCAGTGAGCTATTTTACAATTGTACCGATTTTTTTGCTTTAACTTCGGCGGTGTAAGTGCAGCAGGCTAGAGGACAAATTTCTCGCCAAGGGCACTATGTAATAGTTGTTTGTGTGTATAAAGGCTATTATGGAAAAGTTGACGTCTGCTCCCATGCCTGGCTGTGAAGTGCTGAGTGTGCAGCCGGAAGACTACAGGCCAGCCCAGTTGAGGAACGAGTGGACGGTAGAGTACGGACACTTTGACAAATTGCGCAAGATACTACTCAAGGAGGTGAGTAGTGGTAGTAGTAACAGTCGCCCCAGAAGATTCTTAGCTGGCTAGGGGTGATAAATTAATTGCATTCGTCAATGTATATTGGTTAATTATGAAGCTACATTGTTTTGATTGATAATAATTTCGGCGAGAGGTCAAAAAATAAAAAAAATTTTAGTTCATTAACCATGACACTGATAATCAAATGAGTTGTACAGGTCATTACCCTAGAAGGCTTAATGTTGGTAGGAGGTAATATCTGCATCTATCAAGCGAGAGAGCGCGTCTTTAAAAATGCTTTTGGTCCAAAGTTGATCTGCGGGGTACAATTGTCCATTTCTGAGAACTCATCAGACATGCAGATCGATATTTATTGTCTGCTTAATAAGAATAAATGTAATAGGAAACAATAACGACCACAAAGAACATCCCAAGTTTATGAACAAAATTTGTTTGTCATGTCAGGTGGATAGCAATGCCTATTCTGGAGAGATGCTGAATCTGCTCTCGACTCACTTCGTCATTGCGCACTTGAGTGCTAACAGGGCCGCCTGCATGACTGCCTCAAAACTGTTCCCTCTTGCAGCCAAAATTACCATGGCCCTCACCATGTTCATACACGAAGTGCCGGCTGACAAGGTGTTTCTGGAAGCGGGCCTGGTCACCCGTCTGGCCTCAATGTCAACCAGCGAGGACATACCGGTGAGTTACTCTGATTAAAGTTGTTAATTTTTTGTTGGTGATGAACGGAAATGACTTCTTATTTGCTTAAGTGCTTTTTTTGAATAGCTACATTTGCTATTTAGTTTCGCGTTTTACATAAGCGAGCGTTAAAGTGCTAGTACGAACCTTCTTTTTAAAAAATCAAACTCGCAAATTAAAGTGTTCATTGAGAGTGTTCACTTATTTGGTGGAACTTTTGCTATAATCACCATCTGTAGAATTTGAAATTTCATAGCATCTGTTCTCTGCTTCATTTGTGACTAGTGTGTATGATTTATTAAGCGTCTGTGGCGGAGTGGTTAGTGCGTGAGTCCCATAATCTCTAGGTCGCAGATCGAATCCGAGACGTTGCACTCATGTTTTCTTTAAAAGGTTGACTTTACTTTTCAATTATTAATTAGCGACAGGAGTCTCATTCATTTCGGTCATATTAGTTTTTAAGAGTAATGAACGTAGTGAGTACTTTTAGATAGGTCTTTGTGATTTTTTTTGTTTTTTCGGGAAAAAGTTTTAAAATTTGACTCAGTTTTTTTTCGGTTTGACTAATTTTTTCAGTTCATTTCGTTTCTTTTGTTAAAAAGAAAGGCAAACTCGACTATCGAACTCGGCTTAATCGGTTTTGGCTTATTTGATATCGATGAGTACATACATGTTTTTCATGGAAACTATCTAGACAGCACATGTATTTTTTCTAATAAGTTTTTGCCAAACAATATTAGTTGATTTTCAGATGATTAGCTGTCGGCTTTAATTCTGTTGGCTTATTTACCTAATATTTTGTTACCTACACCGAAACTACTAAAGATATCGAAAAGATTCGGCCCCAAATCTAAATTTTCGAATGCTCAATTTTAACCCCACTTGGTATTTTCGGTTTTAATTTTTTTCTAGTTTTTTCTTCAACAGTAACAAAGTTTGAAGTCCTCTTTGATAGTTCTTGAGTCTCTTGCTTTATAAAATCCTATAATTGCTGTATCGCAGAAGATGCGAAGCTCAGCTTCGCCTCTATGTCAATATTAAGATCGGAAAAGGCGCCAGGAATGTCAACTGACCATAAGTTTAAAACGTGGATATTCAGCTCTTAAGAGTTCCTCGTCGAAAGTTTTCAGTTGTCAATTTATGTAGTAAAGACACTTATATTGACCGAGTTGATTTTTTTTTCACTTCAAATTTGATCTTTTGCCGTTTGAGTGTCAATTTCTTGTATTAGCAAGTGGCTCGAATCTCTCCTTCGCCTCGTGTAAAAATTGATTTAATCATTGTGCAATGTGTTTGGTGTGATATGATACCAATCAAGAGAAAATGACCAAAGATTGTATTTCTAACAGAAGCGAAGAAAAGTTTTCGCTATCATTATCAGGTCAAAAAGTCCTACTATTTCATCTCAATGTAAGTAATCATTAATTTTTTCGATTCTCTGGTCAAAAGTTGTTTTGCTTCCACTTGCAGTATGAAAAGATATCATTCTCGCATTCTTTCAAAGCTAATTAAAGATGAAGAAATCGAGATTTGTTTGTGTTATTTGAGTTCTTCAGTATATGATGTTTGTGTTGGTGTAGGAGGAGCGTAAAGCGTATCTGCGCAAGATGGCGTTTCTGTTCATTAACACCTTCATCGACACGGTGGAGCAGGCAATGGAGGGCGAGACTGACTTCTCCTCGGAGTACTTGGGAGACCTGGAGCCCATCAGAGAGAGGGGAGAGATCCTGGTGCCCAAGAACGCCAATCAATGTGTGCTCAAGGTCAGCCTAGCTTTCAATCCATTTTTTTGATTTCGTATCTTAACGAACCATGATGCTTGTCCCTTAAATTGGTCGTGCAATCTTAGCTTGTTGCATATTACGATTTATTGACTTCTGTAGCTCAATTAGCTCAATTTACTGGACAAAAATAAATATTGGCTATGTAAAATCAAATGAAAACAGTTTTCAAATATGGCGTGCGCTTTAGTGTTATGAACGAAGTCATTTATCTCTTATTTTGGTCGTGTGGTTTTTGTTTATTTGTTTTCCCTGGAAAAACGCTTAAAATTTGTTCACGCTCAAATTTGATGTTTTTTTTTGCGGTTCGACTTTTGATTTTCTTTGGTTCAATTCAAAATCATTTGCTTAAAAGGAACGCGAATTATGCATTTCAATAACGAAGGTGCAAATGGCACAAAAAAGCTGGGTCAAATTTCAGTTTCACAAGTTGATTCAAGTTTTCAGAGTTCACAGCGGAATAAAACATTTACATATTGATTCAGTTTTTTCCAAAAATAATCGTTCTTTTTTAAGAGTCGATGAACGGAGTTCAGACTTTTATATAGGTCGCGATGATTTTTTTTAAAAAGTTTTCTGGGAAAAGCTCAGGCTCAAATTTACTTTTTTTTGCTGTTTGGCTTTTGATTTCTTTCCAAGTTTAGTTCATTTCTTTTGGTAAATGGAAGGCAAACTCCACTATTGAACAGCGAAAGTTAAAAGATCGCTAAAACGTGATTGACTTCTAGTTTCAAAAATGGTATTTAATATTCGGATTTCCCAGCAAAATAAAAAGTTTACCTATAGTTCCATTTTTCTCAAATTGCGTTGATATTATCGGCAAAGTGCCGATCTTAAATTGTTCTAGAAATTCAAAGAGCTTTAAGGTATCTATTTTTTCTTTGAACTTCGAAAGTTGAGATTTAAAAAAAAAGAAAACAAGTCTGTACTCATTACTCTTTTCCAACTGTCAGTTGGCTTTTTTATAATCCCATGTTAGTTGACTCTTTTCCAACTGTATGTTCTGAAAAATTGAAAAAGGAAAACGGTTGTTCTCTTTTCGAGCTCATTTTTTTCGACTTTGGGTTGATTGTGATAATGACAATTGTTTCATTAATCGGGTGTATTTTTTTAGGACGAGGCGGTGTTTGAGGCTCTGAAGGACTGGGTTTTGACGGTGTCGATGGACAACTCGATCGACTTCTCCAGCGACATGAACATCGCCAACAATGCCGCTTCAACCTCACATGGGGCACCACAGGTGTTCGAGGCATGTGCAGGCAGAGACGACAAGATATGCTGCATCACAGGTAACGAGATTATACTGATGATCTCTCACCTCTTATTCCAATGCTCTTCAAATGACTTGGCCAGCTGCTAAGCAAACACGAATAGTAAATCTGACAATAGTTTTCTTATGTTTTAACGGGGATTGTTGAATAGGTCCCTCTTAGCTGTCACGCTTATGGAAGTAAAATAATTCTATCAAATGATGGCGAGAAAATGTTCAGAAATTAATGAAAAGCTACCATGAAATGCAGCAATGCTTGCTGAAGTCTTTGTTTGTTGAGCAAATGTTCAGAAGTTATTGAAAAGCTACCACGAAATGCACCAATGCTTGCTGAAGTATTTGTTTGTTCCGGTCAAAAAAGAACTTGATCTTTTCAATTACGATGGCCAAAGTTGATTGCTAACTGTTCTATCGAATATTTAGGATCCGGCTCTTAGGAAAAGTGTTCTTTTTTGCATGTAGGCTACCCTATAAGGAAAGGAGGTGGTGGAGGTGCAGATATCCGTTCAGTGGGAAGCTTTTCGTTCTCCCTCAACAACTCAGACAGAGGACTCCTACAAACAGCCAAGGTGAGAGAAAAGATAATACACTGTTTCTGGTCAAGTTGCAATATCCAAGAGCAATACGTGGAAAGTTACGGCAATTTTTTTTTAGTCATTACGACGATTCAATCCGAGACCAGCCAAATAGTTTTTACTTTGACATACGAAACTAAGTCAGATTTTTTTCTGTTTCGTTGCGTTTATTGACTCTTTTCCTTCTGTCTGCTGGCTAAGTTTTTTTTTGTACATATGCACTTTCTCAGGGAGATTGCTTTTGCAATTTCTAACTAAAAGCATAAACTCAAAAATAGGATCAAAAGGTATTTGACGTGGGATAACTTTCGTAAAATTATGAGAGGTTGTTGGTTGCAATTTGGATTACAGTGCTGATTTAAATTAACCGGACAAAAAGCGTTAAACCTGAAATTTAAAACGCGTTTTTCTCAAATTGGGTTGAGTTTAGGTGAAAACTTATGAGGACAAAACTTGCTTAAAATTATAGCAGAATTAAAATGGTGTAATTTGTTTTGCGAAATTCGGGCCCAAAATTTTACCCCAAAAATGGGTCATTTTGGCTTTTCTTATTTAATCAAAAATTACGCCAAAAATAACCAGTCGATCACAGACATAATTATATCAAAGTGAGCCCCTTATTTAGCCCAACAAACTTTAAGAAGGTTTTATTCTCCAAAACATTGTATAAGATAATTTATTTTTGTTTGATAGACAAAAAAGGTCGTTTTTACTATAAAAAATACCAACTATTTATTTAAACACAATTTTTAAACGATTTACAATTTTTTTTGGAGAATAAACCCGTCTTAAAGTTTGTTGGGCTACATAAGGGGCTCACTTTGATATAATTATGTCTGTGATCGACTGCGTATTTTTTAAGCGTAATTTTTGATTAACTGAGAAAAGCCAAAATGACCCATTTTTGGGGTAAAGTTTTGGGCCCGAATTTCGCAAAACAAATTACACCATATTAATTCTGCTAAAGCTTTAAGCAAGTTTTGTCTTCATAAGTTTCACCTAAACTCAACTCAATTTGAGAAAAACGCGTTTAAATTTGAAGTTTAGCTCGTTTTGTCCGGTTAATTTAAATCAGCACTGTAGTTATTGTGCGCTTTATTTGTGAGTTTTTTCTGATGTTCAAAGTATTAGTAGCGAATTAACATGCTAGTGTTAAATTACAAGTGGTCGTGGAGCAGATGTGAGAACGTGATAATCCTTATCTTGTCAATTTCCTATGTTTATTTTACACACTCTTTTTTTAGGTGTATTTTAAAGATTTAAAATACACTAGATTTACAAGATGTATTTTAAATCGTTTCCTTATTTCACTTGTTTTGCCTGTTTAGAGCTTTTTTTTTGCTTTTTCCTCGTTTTTTTGCGAAGCGCAGCTTCGCCTCTGTCTTACACTTGCGAGCTTTGTATTATCTTACAAAGTTCATTGTGTTGTTCGGACTTTCGAAGACAACGAAATATTTATGCTTAGGGTGGTCCTTTTATTTTTGAAAGTTTATTAAATCAACTATTATTTCGAATGGTGCAAGGAAAAGTTTTTCGTTGCTTGTTCACAGTTGTCATCCTGTGTTTTTTTCTTCAAACATCTCATATTCTTCGAAATAATATGCAAATGGTGTCGAAATTCTAATATCATAGGAGTCAGTTATGCGCGATGAAAGCCCCAGTTTACACCGTGTGAATATTTAGAATGCCATTCCAATTGTGTAACCGTCCTCAACGCCGAGGGATTGCCATTTGGATCTTGTGCCTCTGATGGAAATGTTGGTTGCTCTTAGAATAGCGAATGAAATTCTACATCTCACCCAGCACATGACATGACTATATGGGCGGTCCCATTTTGATGCCAGACCATCTGCTAGTCGTTTGAGGAAAAACGTGAACTCCGGTGCCAAAACACCATCTATTGAAGTGACAAGTGGAGTGAAAGACAAGTGCTTTTCTTCACAAGCTGGTCCATACTTATTTTTCTTCTCAATCTCTGCAGTTTTCAGTACATTCATGGGATTGCGGTTTTGGTAAGACGGAGCGGCAGTGTCTGTAACACGGATGTCGAACGATGCAGCCGACTGTCTATCCCAAACCCCACGAGCTGAAAGATCTGCAATTAGTGCCGGGGTTCCATTTTCTACATCTGGTTCTTTTACGTCAGGTTCTCTTTTCACATCCTTCCACAAAATTGAAGCAAGATCGCCCACTTCGTCTCTTATTTCGTTGTGTCGTAGTGTTACCAGTCCGCCCTTCTTGCAAGAAAGTGCATGCTGTAAGTCAAAATCTTGTTGACATCCATCGCATTTCGAGAAAGAACGTTTGAGTGGTTTTCTGTACCTGACACATAGAGCGTCTCTGAACTCTGTGGCCGACAAATCAAAATTATCTTTCAACAAGGGCAGCGAAGTTAGCCACAAGGAACAGTTGTTGTCGATTATTCTCCGGATCGATCGTTTCTGATCTGCTGGTAAAACTGCAAGCAATTCATCGAGTTTATCTTTGTCCACAGCATTTTGTTTCTCCTCGTGGTTTTTTCTTGCTTCTCTCATCTTTGTTTTGTGTAGAGTTTGGTCGAAATCATCTTGGAGAAGGATCGAACTCACGAGACAGTCGGTTGCTTCACGTGAAGTGGAAAATGCTAGTTCGGCAACTTTCTATTGGATTTCGCACACCTAGTCCCCCTCTTTTGACAGGAAGTGAATACAAAACACGATCTGAGTGTGTGACACTAGAAGTTCCTAGTAAGCTTGGCAAAAAGTTTTCCTCCAACATCTTCTCGAGAAAAGTTTTCCTCCAACATCTTCTCGAGAGGAGCAAACAACTGCGACGTATCTTTGACTACTCTCTGGACAAAATTCCATTCGCATTTCAGTGATCTTGTTAATCCAACTAAAGCAGCTTGAGGTTCTTTTTCTGCCACTTAACACAACTCGCCAAGACAATCCAACCATTCTTGGACCTTTTTTTTTTAAAGTGAAACGAATTTTGCCTTCATCAGAGCCAATAAATCCGCCCAAATATCTTCTACCTTTAACTATTCTGATGCCGAACCTGTCAAACAATTGATGAGCTTTTTCAACAAAGTTCGGGTGAACAACCAAATAACTTCTGCTTGGCTCGGGGTAATAGCCATACTTCGGGCCGTTTTCAGTCAAAGATGACAACCATTCAACCAGGTTTTCTAGTGAGCCGAGAGCTCCCGAATCATCTGCATACCATGTTGGTAAATACTTATCTCGGTCTTTGAGTGATTCAATCAATGGCATCAATGAAACACCATAGAATAACATCGCTAGTGGATCACCCTGTGTAGTGCCTTCACTACTGAAAAGAAGTTCTGTCGTTCCTGCAACAATTAGCGGCGCATACCCTCTATAAGTGTTGAAAAGAAATCGTGAGCACCTTGGCCAAAGTATTCTAGCATTCCATAGAGCCGTTTCCCTGTTCAATGCATTGAATGCATTTGAGGCATCCACCAATAGAAGACCATGTCCGTCCTCTTTGGTGCTATTAAACAACTCCTCCACTGCGTGTACAGCTCCTTCTATTCCTGCTTTCACACCACAAGCTAGTTGTTGAGATCCACAGGTTTCTTCGATCTTTTTTGGTCGCTTCGGCCATACATTTACACATTATTCTTCGCAAACACTCACCTATGCCAATGGGTCTAACTCCGGGGCACTTGTCCAAAGCGATCAGACGACCTGACATCAATGCTCGTATTTGGTTCCATGGAATAATTTCGTTAGCTATCTTTGTGATCAGCGCTGCCACTTCGTCTCTCAAAGCTGAACTATGTCCTCCAAATCGAATAAATGCGTCTTTCCAGTGTTCCGAATCTGTTCCTGAAGGTCCGGCTCCACCGTGCATTGACCTCGCAAATTTTTCTATATAAGAAGAAGTGATGGTTACTGTTTCTAACTCAGGCAAGCTGTCTACTTGTATTCTTGCTTCTTCTTTTGACTGTTTTGCTACGGGATGTTTTTCTTTCAGAATGTCAATGACTAATTTTCTTGTTTTTGTTGTGGAATTAATAACTTCGTCATTTGGATGGAGCAAACCTCCGCCAGATTTGCTTGTCAGCCAACGCATGGCAGACCGAACTTTCCCTTCCATCATCATTCGTGCAAAAACCACCGCAGTGTGCTCGTCTTCGGATGTATTTTTTTTCATAGGTTTCCTCGGTTGTTTTTGTGAACATCGTTTGACATCTTGTAGTAGAATATTGAAATCACTATTTTCCCAGTCTTCAAGTCGTCTTCCTATCAAAGCTCTCACATCACGTGTGGTTTTTACCATTGGGTCCCGCTGTAAGATTAATCGGCTGAATACAAGAAGTCGTTCTGAACATTCGTTTTGGTTCAATCGGCAGACTTCTTTCGTTAAAAGATCAACGTATTTACGGCCAATGTTTCCCCCGGGACTAAATACAGTTTGCCTTGGAGGTTCACACTCACAGTCCATCTGTTCCCCCATTCAGTTTCTTGAACTTCCTTAGATACGTCGAGAGACCCTCCAAAGGCGTCAAACAAACAGGTTGTGACGTTTTCTGTAATGGGTACGACAGGATAATGGTCTTGCTCGCTGAGGGTCATAACACGAAGCTGTTGAGTCGCCCATGTATGTTGTTCTTCATTTTCTATTTTGTCTTCGGTTTCGTTGTATGAATCCTCTTGTTCATCGTCACTAACTCTCTGCGACGCAGAAACGGAGTCCTCATTTGGATTTTCTTCCGAGTGATCACGAAAACCAAAATAAGACGGCGGTCTTATCGCTCTGTCGCTTCTCCTCATCATTTCGTGTCGGGGTTGACAAACTCCTCAATAGTTGCAATAGTTGCTATTGTTGCAATAGTTACAATAGTTGCAATGGTTACAATAGTTGCAATATTTGCAATTGTTGTCAATGTTGTGGTTTTTGTTGTTTTTTTCCTTTTCTTTTCTTGTTTAACAAGACACGTGCTATTGTTTAACAAGACACGTGCTATTGTTTAACAAGACACGATGGTCCTTTTATTCAGTCAATTTTCGGCGATCGAAAAAATAGTTTTTTTACAAAGTTTTCTTATACCCCATTGAAAGTATTGATTCCCTGAAATCAAATATTAAAGGATATTTTACCTCCGATCTTTTTTAGTAAAGTAATGGGAGTTCAAAAATTGGCAATTTGGCCATGCTCCGGGCTAATTTATGCTTGCTTTGAAGATTTTATTCATAATGCTGAAATCGTAACACGAATTTTTTATACGTGGCAAATTGTCCCGTACAATAAATTAGAATTGAAGCTAGCTAATCGGTCGTATTAATTTCGTACGACACAAATTTTCACAATTGACCTTTTATATTGTCCAAAAATAGTTTTTTCCATATTTTCCAAAAACTATTCAATATGGGTTAAGGGGCAGTCGGAAAATTCAGGGCTTTGCCCTATATATGAGCAGTCTTGTTCTCTCTCAACTCGTAAATAAAAGTGCTCATGATGGCACTTGCTGCAGTATGGGCTTTTTAATAACTTGCGTTCTCCTCTTTATTAGTGGCTAGTGACACAGTGTAGGGCCGTCGACTTGAGTACCAGGATGTGCGGGGGCTGAGGTTCGGTTCCCGTAGAGTGTGTTTATTGTTTAAAATTCAGTAATATTTTTTATCGTTTTCTTTCTGAAGCTATTAGCGTTTTTCCAAGTGGCTTTGTGCTTGCCACGTGCAACTTCGCCTCTACATACAGGCTTTTTGTTATGAATAAAAACTATGTGTTTAGATGGTGGGTGGCATGGGCAATGACAGCGTGGAAGACAGAGAAACTATCAAGAAACTGACCAACGACGACTTCGAGTTCCTCGTCAAGAAAATGGGCGTCAACTCGCAGTTCTAAACGAAATTCACACTCCCCACCAAACACTCATTCCATTCCCCCCCGCCCCCACCCACCCCTATCACAACGCTTTTGTCAGTTTCAGCCATATTGAATGAGTTGCAGAAAATTGTAAATATAAATTATATCTGTAGATTGTAATGAACTAGTAGAAAAAAAATGTAAATATGTGAAATATGTGTGAGTGAAATGAATAAAATTTGACAATGTTAATAATATCACAAACAATGAATGTAAATCGCCATACGCAATAAAGTTGTCCACGAATTTTTCTCTTTTGTTTGAATAAGATAAAGAAGTGTTAAAAGACGGTAAGCATTGGGCTCGTCGAAGGCAATTTTGATCTACGGTCATTGTTTTGGTATGAAATTTTTTGTATGACCTTTTACGCGAGATTCAGTCTGAATTTGTTGGAACTTTGAAAAAAGCACCGTTTTAGAAAAATCTCAATGATAAATTTTTTCTGATAGATGTAGTGCGTTTTTTGGCCTGCGAGGGCTCAAAAGGGACTCTTCAAAATTATGGGAGAGCTCAGAATTAAAAAAGAAATTGCCGGAATTTTTTTCAAATATTTTCCCCTCCCCTACTATTCAAGGTAACGATTATCCCCTTAATGTAAACGGTACACTGAAGGAATAAGTCATTCAGCAGGATTTTAGCTCCGATTGCTTGAGAAACACTAAAACAAATTCTTTTGAACAGTGATTTTTCAAGCAAGGTTAACATCAATCACTAGTTTAATCAAAATCACTAAATCATGTGCACAGCTTTTGTTTTGTGAAGCATTCAATTCTGCAGCTTTTTGCTCGTAGTTTTTTGAAAATTCAAAACTGACTATTAGCTACTAAAAATAGTGGCCGTCTAAAGGTTTTGGATCGAATCCGGTCAGGACCTGTTTTTAACAAAATTTTTGCAATCAAAAAAATTTCAGCAGAACCGAAAATCTGCTTATGTTTTGACGTTTTATTTGCCCTGTTTGAGACTGTTGCTTTTCTTTTTATATCAAACGTGTTTTCGATTCTTTTATAAAACTTTTTAACCTAATAGTTCTGACTTAGTATAATTGTTTGTGGTGTGTTTTTTGCTTAAAATCTCTGTGGTCTAATTGCTTTCGATTTATGTTCTTTAAATTTAGTGTTCAAAACCTAAAGCTCATTTGTTTTGATGATATAATTTTTTCGTGTTTTCGGAGCAACATGCAATAACCTAAGTGTTGTTGGCTTACTGGCTGTTCGATTAATTTCACATCGACGAGCTCTGTCAAATTGAACAGCTTTGGAGAAAAATTCGGAAAAGTTCGTTGATGTGATCATTTTGATTTTTACATTAGCCAGCGTATTGTATTAGTATGTCTTCACTTTTTTCCAACCTAATTCGCAAATTAATTGTTAACTTGGTGGCGCTTTGGATATAATCACGATCTCTAGGAATGGAAATTCTTAGCCATCTGTTCTCTGTCTTATTTTGGCTAGTCTCTGTACCCATTTGTCTCTGTGCTGCAGTATAAAAATACGGTTTGCTGAGTTGTTTTCATATTAGTATATGCGCTGAAATTAGTGACGTTCTTTCCATAGTCTATTTAACAAGCCTTTTTGGTCAGCTTTTTCTTGCAAACGGGATTTTGGAAAAGGTATTTTTAACTGAGTAGCTTTTTGCAGTTAATTTTGCCAGATTGTGAATTCATGCCTTAGCATTGTAATAAATAGTCAAAAACGTAAAGTTTTGTGTTTCAAGCCTAACTCCATGCAAAGCATTTGCAATCGATTCTTATTGCCTAAATGAGGCAGTTTCCGAATTGAACTCGGCGGATATTCACATCTACAGAAGCCAGAAAAGGCGAAAGCTTTTCCAATTGTGATGGTTTGTCATGCTCAGATTTACATAGAAAATGATCATTTCTGATTATTCATGTTTACCCTTGCGATAATCAATTGTATTGCAACCGGGTACTAGACTTTTTCCGTAGATAGTTTTGTTCACGGAATAAACAATGAAAAATTTATAAGCGTTGAATTAATAGCATGGTTGGAGTTTATTATCTGCAAAAGCACTTTTGGACGTTAAGAGTTACAAGTGAACGTTAAGAATTGCAAAATGCTTTTATCTTTGTCGAAAGTTTTCGGTAGATTTTCGGTGCCGAGGTCGGTCGGCTTTGCTTCTGTCGGCTTGTTTTCTTATTACTTTTTGTTTAATTTTTGTTGATATAAAATGAGAACGGTTAAACTCTTACAAGAAATTTTTGAAACATCTTACGTTGTTAAGCCCTTCATAAATAAAGTTACAATTTAAACAAAAAAATTTTTCAAATATTTGTAATTTCTAGAAAAAATCAGGTTTCGGCGTTTTAATTTGTTAAGTAACCTTAGTCGCAGCCTTTGTTTGAACCGACAAATAATTGAACACCTTTGCTCAATTTACTTCAAGTGTATATTAAGTAAGTGATACCAGTTTAACTTATTTATATTGTAGACATAGTCCCTGCTTGCGAAGACATAATTATTGGTTCGATACTGGCCAGGAGTTAGTTTTTGCATGTAAAATGTTTTTTTTTCGGCCCAATGTGCGTCTGTTTAAAAGCTGTCGGCGTTGTTACCGCTTTAGGTTTTGTTTCGATGTTAATAAAGAGTAATGAATGTTGTGAAAAATCCTATGGAGGTCATGATGATTTAGTTTTGCGTTTCATTTCTCAGAAGAATGTCCTAAAATGAGTTCATCCTCTTTTGGTTACTTGCTGTTTGATTTTTGATTTATTTATAAATTCACTTCATTTTTTTGATTAAAAGAAAGACAAAATCAAATATTGAACATAAAATGTATAGGCCAAGAAAAACTTGATCGACTTCTAATTTCGAAAATGGAAATGTTTTAGCTTTAACTTAGTTTTTTTTTCGGCCTAACAGTTGTTCAATTGGATTTGTTTTTTTTTTAAATGAATCAAAAAAAAAATTTGGCCTACCCTTCAAAAAGCTTGCTGACAGCGCCAGCGCCTACATAGTACTTTACAATACAATAAAAACGTTGATTCCAAGGGTAAGCATTGACGAATTTTTTTACCCCTCCAACATGGTGGACTGAACACAGAGGGGTGGCTGAAGAAGGGGAGGAAGATGTTGAAAAGGGGGGAGCTGAAAAGGTGGGGGAAGCTTTGTGCGGGGGGAGTCAATTTTTGGGGTAAGGGGTGTCGATGGTGTACACGGGGATCAACGGGTGTTCGTTTGGGTTCTAGTTTTTGCAAAACACTGCAAAAAGTAGAGTAAACATTTCACATCTACAGATAATTTTCAATTTTATGGATTTTATCAGCAAAGTTAATCATTTATATTGCAATGAATTTTAATAGATTTTTGAATTTTGAAATTTATCTATAAAAACCCACTAAAAATCCACTCTCATGGATAAAGATGGTAGGATGTAAAAGCACAATTTTTCTCGATTTATAGAATGCCCATGGTTAAAAGAAAAATTCAAGGAAGCACGGGTTCTCATTTACATTTTTTGAACAACCCAAAAAATATACAAACTTGAGCTCGAAATCAAAAAGTAATCTTTTCCATTCAAAATTGCAGAGATCTGGGTGTTCAAAAAATGTTTCGCCCAATTAACGGGTGTTGAGGCGAGTCAATTCATTCACCGGTTACGCATTAATTGGAGACAAACTTTGTTATAATTCATACGTTTCAAGAAGCATCATTTGGTTTTAATTCGTTCTCAGATAGCGCGTAACAAAAACTGAAAAACATATTTTTGTTCCGACTTTCGATACGAAAGTAACGGAATATTTGTGCTCGGGGTGGTTTTTTTTCAGACAAATTTCGACTTTTTAATTAGCCATTTTTGACGGAACTTTTTTTATATCATTCAAAAGTTATCCTGAGCTTAAATTTGAAAAGATATTTCACCTGTGATCATTTTTTGTAAAATTATGGGGGTTTAAAGATTGCCATTTTGGTCAATTTGGGACAATTAACGCGCGATGTGTTTCGCGATATCATCGCGTAAGCGGAGATTTAATCCGTCTTAGAAATCTTCTAAATTGGTTGAAGGAAGCTTTTTTACCACAATTGATTTGTTACTAGGAGCGAAATCTGTCACTTTGTACTTTGAATGGCGTGTGGGGGGATGATTTTCACAAAAAATCTCAAATCAAATAAAGGTTTTGCCTTTTTTTTTAAATTTATTTTTATCATGTTTTAACTGCATTATAGACCTTTAAAGGCTGTCGGAACATTCAGGGCTTCGGCCTGATACGAGCAGTCTTGTTTGACCTTATTTTGGATTTCACTATATGTAACAATTAATTGGCTTATCTGTTAGGTCCATGATGGCACACTACACATAAAACACTATATAAATTCAATGAATCACAAAGTAACTAAAGAAAAAGACGTGTGAGAGAAGACTGAAGTCCTCTTGGGAATCTCATTGTGAATCCTAATCTTCTTGGGATTGTCCTGGAGGTTTGATCACAATTGCAAATGAGGGTACTCGTAAGTGTACTTTAATTTGAAGTTAGTTTAGCTGAGATAATCTTCGAGCAACGACCAAAGAGTAATATTTGTGATCACAGTTTAACTGCAATGATCCCAGAAACTCTTTTTTAAAAATTGATCAAAGAAAGTTATTTTGATATCCACAGAATGTTACGATTGGATCTTGAGCTGATATTATGGCATTGAGTTAACATTTTTGCTATGACCACCATATTATGGCATTGTGTTACCTGGGAATATTTTTGTCATACAGAAAATTGTGCTCTAGAAATCAATGGTCTATTCTAAAGGCCGTACGGCAAACTCAGTCTTTAGACAAGGGAATTACTAGATTCTAAAATTGCAAGATACGTTTAGTCTACACAAAGACGAGGTGTAAAAAGCTACGTTTTTTTCTCTTCATCGGTTCCGTAAAAGTCCGAAAAAAAAAGATTTTTGTGGGCCTTACGTTCAAACTATATATCTGGTTTGAGCACAAAATTTACCCTCCTAATAAAAATTCTCGATAGCAACCCAAATATCATTATCAGAATAATGTACTATGATTGGACAATCCATGCTAGTTTGTTTTTTCATTGTTCAAGGAAAATGACGAATTATTTGTGTTTGGGTCGTTTTTTCAGCAGACAAATTTTGACTTTTTAACTAGCAATTTTTGGCGGAATTTTTTCTTACATCATTGAAAAAGTATGTTATTTTTTGCTCAATTTACAAAAAGTTTATTGTTCCGACTTTCGATACGAAAGTAACG